CCCCGGTGCTGCGGCCGGGCCTTCCCCGCTGGCGGCCGCCCCCGGCCCGGGGGAGGCGGCCGGGGAGAGGCCGGGCCTGGGCTGCCGCGGTGCCGAGCGGGCTGCCCGCCCTGCTTTGGTTGTTTTCCTCCCTCCCCCGCTTTTTCTTTTTCTCTTTTATTTTATTTTCTATATTTTTGTTTTGGTTTGGTTTTCTCCTCCCTGAGGCGGCTCAGCCCCGCACGTCCTGGCGGGATGCGCTTCTGTGTCAAAGTCATACGGACGAGAAAGTGTCCTGGAGCCAACGGTTCAGGCTTCCATTTTGAAATCCTCTTAATAATGGGATCCTTTTTCTTATTTCTATTTTTTTCTTTTTTTTTTTTCCCCACACTCAGCCCCAGCCATGCCCTGCGACGGGGGTGTTTGTGGGAGATGGCGGGGGGACACACACACACGACTGGTGGAAATTATATTTACATATAAGTGCCCGGGACTCCCCGGGTTTGGGCTGGTTTAGGTGTTCGATAACACACACGGCGATGCCGGAAAACCTGGCAGGGTTCGAGTTCTAGCTTATCAGGCCTTTCACTTTTCCTGGGTGATATGGATAAGGTTTAAAAATCAGTTGTAGATTGTTTCTCCCCCGAGTTCACAGTTGTCATTACAGTCTCTGTATTAATGTGTTATCTGTCTGTCATTTTCCTTCTTAAAATCTTTCACTGAGTGGAAGATTGTACTGTCAGGCACTGCTTTTTCACTTTGCATTCAGGATTAATTGCCCTCTATTAATTTTTCCTTACTGCTTTTAGTTATAACCTTAAAAAAACACCAAAATACCTATTTTAATCTCCTTTTGCAGTTTGAAGTATCACATTGTTTCCCAAGAACGTCATTAGCCTTATGCAAAAGTTGAACATTTACAACTCTGGGACTCGTGTCATAAACCCATCACTAGTTCCTGCTTTAGGCTTTTCTGGACTTGTTTTGATTTTTATTTTTGTTCCACAGAGGGAGTAACTCTTTGAAGAGCGTTTCTCTTGTCCTTGCTCTTGGTCTGTCCTTTTATCCAGTGGAGTTTGGTTGGGGTTTTTTTTTTGACGTACTCAGAGAAGGCATATTCTGTTTGGACTTCAGATTATTCTTTTTTTTCACAGCTGAAGGAGTATCAGCAGAAGAATAGCCCTGGAGCAACTGCAGGAACCAAGAAAAAACGCAAAACTAAAGAAGGCAGTAGACCTGAGACTCCCACCAACGATGACCAGCAGCCTCCAGAGAACGTGAGTGTCTCATTCTTTCTCCCAAACCCATTTCTTCTTTGGTTTTCCCAACAACATGACCAGAGCTGGGAAAGGATTGTGCTGGTGTAATAAATGAAAGGCGTAGATGCCTGTAGGATGCCTGCTGCTGCAGTTAGCACCACCTCTTCTGGAAGGTGGACGCTAGAGCCAGGGTATGTGCCGAAGCGGTGTCTCATCATACACCCTGTCATGCAGCCCTGGGTGTGTCCAGAGCTGCTGTTTTGAGGTGCGTGCTCCTAACGAGCTGGAGGATGCCGGTTTCTTTGGCTGCCTTTGATTGACGTTTTCTCCTCTGTCCTTTTCTGAGCCGTTTCTCTTTCCCCTTTTCTTTCGCCTCCTTTAGATTCAGAACATTCTGAAGGTGCTGGTGTCAGACCTTAACCGCTCCAATGGGGTAGCCATACCCTCATTGGACAAGAGGAAGGTGAGGCAGTGCTCGCGTCCCTCGCAGTGACTCGCTCTCCCTGCTGCATGCTTCGGGTTCTGTTCACACACTCCCCTCCATTTTTGGGATGGAGCCTTGTCCTGACATGGATCCACTCTCAGTTGCTTGAGTTTTGTTGCCGTTTTTATTAACACGAAGCTGTTTTGTTAACATGCGTTTCCATTGCTCCTTAAGTGCTTGTTTCCTGCTGGTTTGTGTCAAACTTAACATGTGAAAAAGTGAACCTTGTCAAAAAGTCTTCCGTGGGATGGTCGAACTTTGAGGAAAACCAGGAATTTGGGGTGAGGCGATAAACTGAACTGCAGTAGAAGAGGTGGTGTTTCCTTAGTCTGTATTTCTCCTGCTTTGGGTGTCATGGCCTTATTTCTTAGAGCCTTGGTTCTGAAGGGCTCATCTCCAGGCAAGCAGCTGCCCCGGTAAACTCTCCAGTTATTCCAGCCACCCCATTTTCTGACAGGCGATGACACTTGCGCAGGTGATGTACAGTCTGGCAAGTACCGTGGGTTGAAATATGTCGAGGCAGGAAGTTGGATACTTCAGGTCACGCATTTACAGGCTTTAACGCCTTCATGTTCCCCAGGCTCTGAAGAGGAGAGGGCAGGAAGCACGCCAATAAGCAACAGAAATGCATTCAGGAGCAAACATAAACAGCCTTTTTTAAAAAACTATTTTCAGAGTCAGTTTATTTAAATAAGGCTCAAATTGTGATAGAAGCTCATGGAAGTCAAACTTTATAGCCCAGAATTTTCTTCCAGTTTTCTTGTACCAAAGCTCTGCTTTTCACTTCACTTGCATCACTTTGGTAGCTTATTTCCCTACCACTGTTACAATTTAGTTGTCATAAAGTCACTCATTATTGTATTTTCTGCATATCCACGTGTCTCCAGCAATAAATATAACTGGAGTAATCACCAGGAGTACCAGGTAGATGCAGTGGAAGCTGCAAGGAGGAATGGAGTTTACTCTGAATTGCCTTTGTATCCCTTTTCTTCTTCGTTTGTGTGATAATACAGCAGCTACTCTATCCAACACACAGAGTGAACTGCAGAAAGTTCCTCCACCTGGACCTGTAGGTTGATAATCAGTAGAACTCGAGTGACACAAAGACTTACTGCAGGCTGTGAGGGTGCTGGATGTTCCAGCTGAAAGCATGTTTTGATTAAAGTTTTGCTCTTGTCATGGGGAGTATTTTCACTTAATACTCGTAAGCTCAGCGTAAGTTAGATCTCAGAAGAAGAGACTTGTTTCACATTGGAAGGGGAGATGAAGATGGCATTTGATCTTGCAGGGAAGACCTGCCTGTGTCTTCAGTTTTAGTCCTGTTCTGAAAATGAAGAATTTATTACTTCATTTTTGTTTTCCCATTTTTTTCTCTGCTTCTTTAGCATGGGGAGATATATTTTGATCCGATTGGCTGTTATGGAATTTGTGGATTATTGTGTTTTGGGTTTTAGGAATAATTTGAAAACTAATCTTTAATTGCAATATGTAATGAAAGAAAGATTTCTCTTTTCAGTTGCTGGCTTGTAAAAATCCTGAGTCAGGAAAATGCTGTTCAGAAACTCACTTGATGCTAATAGGGCAGAAAAGCTGATCGTTAGCATCTCAGCTACCGCTGCTATTGGTGTCCTAATGTGAGGCAGACTCCTCCCATCTCACCCACTCCAGCTTTCTTGGCTGGAAAACACAGAAAACCCAACAAAATAGGAGCCTTTGTGTGAAAGCAAATGGATTCTATATGTTAAGCTGAGCAGAATTACTAACATTTTACTCGACATTATTAGAACTTAGACTAGAAATTGGAAGATAATTGCTTTGCTCCTAACTATTTCCAACAAATTCAGCTGTTCAAATAGTTTTGGTTGGTTTTTTTTTATTTCTTTCGAAACTAGAGGAAGAAGTTCTCGTGGTTAAGGCACGTTACTGGTTTTGCATCTTGAAGCATTAAGCAAAAATAATGTCATGATCAGAAAGAAATTAAGGAAACATATTTGAGATGTACTGGGGAAGATATTCCTTCTGTCCATCTGATATTCCATATAAATGAGTGTCTGAATCAATAAAGGTGAAGTAATCTGAAGCTGGAGGAAGTAAAGGAACTCCTGACCTTCCTATAAGCACCTTATATTGCTTCATGAGAGCCCAAGTATCTGTCCTGCTAAAAAGAAATTGAGAAAATTCTATTTGTTCCCCTCTGCAGTCTTCCAGCTTATTGCTTTCATTAAATCTGTCTTCACTGTTACTGTATTTCCTCCTTGCTGCTTGATTCACGAGTAAAGTGCTGAACAGGTAAACAGGGAATGCCAAGAGAAAGATTCCTTGTTTCCTGTGCAGCACCAGGAAGGAAGTGACTGAAAGTAAGAGGGAGCTCTTTCAGCTGGAAGAGCAGAGAGCTGCAGTATATTGCTGGGGTTGAATGTTGAAAGGTTATCTCATTTGCTTTGTCAATATTGTTAAATGATGACTTACTGGAACCCGATGATGAAATAAAACAAATTGCCATAAAACACTAGAATGCTGCTCTGGGCCTTTATGGCTCTCCGATGCTGTACAAGGTAGATGACATTGCCCAGGTCACTGTGGCTTGGGAGAGGTGTCAGCAGATGCTGTTCATCCTCCTGCGAAGGCTGGATGAGAACTTGCATTGCTGTCCAGAAATAGTTTTTTGGCCCTTCTCTTTTCCATTTAGATTCTTGTAGTCGTGGCATTCATAGCTCCAGCCGGGCCACAGGCACCTGCTCCCAGCCCCCCTCAGTTTGGCCTGTTCACAAATGTCCTGTTTCTAAACTTGTGGCTTATGGCACGCCACAAACTTCACTGAGTTTTAGATGGAGTGTTTGAGTTTGACTAACCCAGTTTTCAAGTAGTCACTAAGCTGTTCTTTTCCACCTTAATTTGCACCCAGTGATCCGTGTTTTCCCCAGACACATCTTGAAGGGAGTGCTTTTCAAAGCAGAGGGACCACGCTTTAAAAGCTTTGCCCTCGCTCGCTTTTTTTGGTGAATCCTTTGCAGTAAATGTAGTGTGTGAACTTGGAGTTGGGTGATATTATGGCTCTGTGTCACAAAAGTGAGTTTGATTGTGGGACACGGGTTCTTCAGACTGGCTCTGAGAGGGCACAGGTCTGGGACAGTGTTTGTTCGTGGGTCGATGCAGTCCCCTGTTTGCTCTGGGGAGAACACAGATTCCCTTCCACGTGTTTCTAAATGATTGGTTGTTCACCCCTGTCTAGTTTTCACCGGCAGATCACAAGGTGATGTGTTCAGGTGTGTTTTCATTCATTTTGCATGAAGGCTGTAATCCCTGTGATGTGTTTTGTGACAGGCGTACTTTGAGAGTGATGTTGCCACTCGTAACGCTGAGCAGCTTGCTACCGATGTCCCTGTGCTGTCTAACAGCAACACCCTACCTAGTTGTGGTTCTGTTCTGCCTGCTCCCGGGAGCATGCAGCTGACGCAGGTTTGTGAATCATCATGAATATTGCCATTGAACACTGGTTAGCAATACCACCTTTTTTTTTTTTTTTCTGAGAAAGATGATCTTTATAAATATGACGTGACTAGTTCAGATTTTCTCCTGTTAAAAATACTACATTCTCCACTCTCCATCTAATCATCATCTATCTGTGAGAGCAGAGAGAGAAGTAGTGTCCATGGGCCCCTGCATCTCACGAAGCTGCTGTTTTCCTTCCCCTTCTCTCCTGTTTCATTAGCAGAAAGTGCCCTTAATAAGACAGCAGGTCAGACCAATCTGTGTTCCCTTTCACTACTTCAAGATTCAGTTGAAGTTTTTTCCAGCAAAGCAAAGTGTTGATTAAACTGATAAGTAGTAACAGCAAATGTAAAGCCTGTAACACTTCAGTTTCTCCATTCCAAGAAACCTGGGCTCACACCACTCGGAAATTACATGTAAGCCAGGACTGAGTTGGTGGTTTTAAGTTCATCTTTCTTTGGGAAGCAGTAATTATGGGTGCTGTGGAACCTGAGCCCAGATGTAATCAAGTCTTAACGACACACTCACAAATGTGACTCCCATCTTCTTTTACAGGCTTGTAAATTTTTGTGTTTCAATCCACAGATTCATGAAGCTGAGGATCATAAAAATGCTTTGGATGAGAACAGGTGAGTGTCTGTCTGTTCATCAGACAGCTTTGTAATGTGATCCCAAAGTGTCCAACAAATAAAGTTTTTATTCCTCCCCAGTGCTGGTCTGACTGGGGGGCAGTTCTCTGGGAGAAATTTTCATCGTGAGGTCTTTCTTTGTCCCCAGGTCCATCTCATCAACAGAAAGTCTGCGCCAGTTGTCTGAACAACTCAATGGCCTGGTTTCTCAGGTACGGCCTCGTTTGGATCCATTTGTCCTAATATTTCTCTTGGTGTTTGATATGGAGCTTTAAGCAGTCAGCTCAAGAAAACACTCTTCAGTCTCAGAGGTGTCTGCAGTCTCATCCTACTAAACAATACAGTATTTAAGCATTGAGAAGCAAAAAGTCCTGTTTTTGGAATGTAAAAATTGAGCAGTAGGAAGAAGAGCAGAGTGGGATGAATGAACTGCATGTATTCATGGAAAGATGTATTCTTGATTTAGTGGAAAAGAATCTAAGTCAATCTGCATAATTCACATCAGCTTGTCACAGGGGGAGTCTGCATCTATCCTTAGCCAGAAAAGTCTGTTTTCTGTGCCTGTGTGGGGTTATTTGAAGTGAAAGGTGCTATAAGAAGTATTATTATGACAGTCTGTTCTTACTTAATAGTGATTTGTTGCCTTGGGGAATAAAACTGACTTACTTGACTGGTTTACTTCTAGTCTACATCGTATGTGAATGGGGAAAGTGCTGTTTCTTCCACAAATATTAAGGAAATGGAAGTAAGTTGTTCTCAGTCTATTTCTTCTTTCTTATTTGCGACTGTTGATCACGTATTGGGACTCTGTGTTTACAGCAGTGTTAATGAGACCTAATTGAATGCACAGCTCACATACACCGCTGTCTACTGCTGTCTTGTGCTGTAATTGGGGAGTTGTGATCTACAGTAGGAGGCAGGTGTGAGAGGTGTTTCCAGTTTGGGGGCTGGGGATAATCTGGTTTCCATGCAACTGCACATCTTATTTCTCATTCACTTTTATGTCAGAATGAAGTCTTGACAGAAATGGATAAAATATGTTCACATCCTGGCTGCTTTTGTTGAAACCATAGATTTTGTTTTTGTTTGGAGAATCTGATTGTATCAAACTGTGGTAATGATTTATTTTTCTGTCCTTTTTAATTATTGCTTTTTTCCTCCCCTCCTCATCTTCTGCTCCTTCCCTTTTCTCCTATCTGCATGTGCCCATCAGACACGTTACCAGGAGCTGGCAGTAGCCCTGGATTCCAGCAATCTAACTAACAAACAGCTCGTTACAAAGATAGAGGAATTGGTAAGAAACAATCCAACCGACCAGTTTGACGTTGTCTTTGCTGCTCTTCCATGCTCTCTGGGTGTCTGCGAGGTTATGGGTTCTCTCACAGTGCCACAAGGAAGGCTGCTTACACAGCACTTTGTCAGGAACAAAATGGGCTGTATGGAAAACCGCTTAAGAGGATCAAAGTCGAAGGCCACTTGTGAATCTATTGGCTCATCTGAGGGACAAGAAACAGAGTTTTGTTGTTTCCATTTAAGCATGCTCTGTTGATCTCATCGTGCTTGCCCTGGATGATAAGCATCCTGATAAAACAGCTATTTCTGATCCTGGTCCTTGAATCCTTGAAACACAGAATTCTGGTGCTGGCAGCAGCGTGAAGACCTCCTTTCTGCAGGTGGTGATGCTGTTCTAAATATATCAGCAGAGTGGGAGCAATAGGTCTGAGAGAGAGCCTGGGGCTGGTTTCTGATCATATCCTCAGCTTCTCTTGGCACGATGAATGAACTGCTTTGTCCTGTGGCCTGCATGGATTCCTGCTGCTGCTTTTCAGCTTTAACACTGCAAGAAATGCAGCTAAGTGGACTTGTTTCAGTCTGAAAAGAGCCTTTCTTGTGTGAAATACTTTTCCTCATTTTGTTCCTCTCTCAAACTACACTTTTCCCAACATTCAGCATTTCCCAATGTACCCCATGACCCCTGTTGTTGTTTTATTTTTGGTTTTGGGTTATTTTTATTCCATTCTGTTTATTTTTGTCTTTTAGCTGGGCTGCAGAGGTACCTGGTGTAGTGCACTGCCCAGCCAGGATTCTCCTTATTAGCCTGCTTTTCTGTTTGCTTTTCTGGAACTGTGTAGGGCCTTTGCTGCATTTGTGGTCTTGCCTTTGATTTTCCTGGTTATGTTGTGCGCTGGCATTGCTAGAATCGAAACCTCTACCTCATCACCCTTCCATCTGCAGTTGTGTTTCAAAATGCATTGAAGCAGTAGTGGTGAAGAAACAGCTTGGCCAATGTGCATTCTTTGGGAAGGGGGAAAAAACACTAATTATATAGTTACTTTTGAAGCATCTGTGAGAAAACTGCTGAGGGGACAACAACAGCAAATGGCAAACAGAGCAGCACAGTTTGTGTGCAGCCTGGCAGAGAGCTGCTGCTTTGGTCTCCTTCACCACGTATTTAAGGAAAAACACTAATTATATAGTTACTTTTGAAGCATCTGTGAGAAAACTGCTGAGGGGACAACAACAGCAAATGGCAAACAGAGCAGCACAGTTTGTGTGCAGCCTGGCAGAGAGCTGCTGCTTTGGTCTCCTTCACCATGTATTTAAAGATCATAGAATCATAGAATGGTTTGAGTTGGAAGGGACCTTAAAGATCCTCCAGTTCCAACCCCCTGCCCTGGGCAGAGACACCTCCCACCAGACCAGGTTGCTCAAAGCCCCATCCAGCCTGGCCTTGAGCTGTGTACGACAAATCCCCAAGTACTTCACCCATAAGATTGAAATTGGCAGGGACAGAATTCTCCCTTTTTTCTGCATTTGGCTTCAGGGCTCTCCCTACCACCTTCTGCAGAGCCACACAGTGTGGCTCTGTGTGACTTAAAGGCCAGTTGTTAAGTGGGATAAAGATCTAAGGTCTCAGTTAAAGGAAAAGACTATGGGTTTTGCTTCAGGGCTCTCCCTACCACCTTCTGCAGAGCCACACAGTGTGGCTCTGTGTGACTTAAAGGCCAGTTGTTAAGTGGGATAAAGATCTAAGGTCTCAGTTAAAGGAAAAGACTATGGGTTTTGTTTGGGTTTGGGGCAGGTTTTTGTTGTTTCTTTGGTTGGTTTTTTTTAAAAAGCTTTTTTGGTGTTGATCCTGATACACCAGGATTGCTGCAATCAGTTTCACAGATGTGGGGTGTAAGTTCAGCTGAATTTGGTGGATGCTCAGATACAAACATACAAGGGTTTCACTAGTGGTGTTTGAGAAGAACTATGGTAATGTGCTGCACAACGGAAAACATACCTGATATGCCAGGTATATTTGTGAAGGAAGACCCAAATCTAGTATTTTTAATAGCTAAGATGAATTTCCTACTCTTCTACAGAAAGGATAATGGAAATTCTGTTTGCAGTAATTGGGCACATATCCTACTTGATTAAAGTGAAAATGTGTTTCAGCAGTATGAGGGTATTTTCTCTTAATTCTGGCACATCATTTTTTCTTCCTTAGAAACAGCAGAACCAAGAAGCAATGAATCAGCTGGAGAAGGTAAAGTGTGTCCTATTTTTGGGTAGATACAGAAATAGGTATCTGTTTCTCTGAGGAGCAGAAAGCAGAGTGGACTGTGGCACGGGCATACGTGATCTTGTGTTAGATTCAGTTTCATTTATAGCATAAGGGTGAATATTTTGACTTCCTGAGTTAGGCCTGGCAGGTAGCCTGCTTATGTAGACAGAAGCTAATATTTAAATGCTCCAGTACTGGAGGAGTGCAGTGGAGGCAGGGGATCACAGTTTAAATCCTTGCCAGTAGTTTGCATTCCAGACACTGCCACGTTTATGCTCGCAGTGATTGCGCTGTGCTGTCGTTGCCATTCTAGGATGGCAAGGACATAATGAAGGAGTTCAATTAATGGAAGACTGAAGTATGTCTTTAAAAATACTCGTGTCATGTAGCTGCTGGAGGCACTACCAATGAATCACCGCTTTTTCAGTTTGACATAAACCAACAAGGGTTAACTATCTACATTTTTGTGCTGAATAGGCATCATTTGTTTATGCAGGAAAAGAAGGAGTTTGAGCAGAAATTCTCTAAAGAGCAAGCAGCACTGAGGGAACAGCTACAGGTAAGACAGAGCCTCCATTACAGTAATATCACCCGGGTTCTGCTGATCTCTGGATCACTGACCACTCACAGTCTTTACCCTGGAAGCCATGAGTCCATTCCTTCAGGGAAACTGGGAGTCACTCAGCCAGGCTGTACTTCCCTGCAAGAGCTCTTTGCCTTTACGGAATTATTACCCTTTTCTGGTAACAGTGACGTTGCAGTTACAAGGAAAGAAGTTTTGTGCTGAGTTGATTTTCCTTTCCCAAAGGTTCACATCCAGACTATTGGAATTCTGGTTTCTGAGAAGTCTGAGCTGCAGACGGCCCTTGGACACACTCAGCAAGCTGCACGGCAGAAATCAGGTAATTGATGTGAGCGCTCCGGCTCAAGCTGTTGTTAAACTGTGGATTTCAAGTCACAGGCATGATAGTTCCTGGCAGCCAGCTCACAACAGTCACCGACTCCCTAATGAGCAATACTTGGCACTGTCACTGCCTCTGTCATCGTAGCTGCCCCCAAATTGGAGCATGTTGATCCCATGGCAGTTGAGGTTCTTTTGTGCATCACTAAAGCCCTGTCAGCCCTGTTTGGGCCTGGTGACTACTCCAGACTGTTCCTTTCTGACTTTCTGATTCTTTTAAAACTTTGTTCCCTTTTCTTCGCCCTCCCTCCCACACAGCTGTCACGTTAACCTAGGTTTTACTCGAGCCTTTCATTCTGAATTAAATTTGAGCAATTCTATTAGGGAAAAAAAAAAAACCTCCAACCAAACAACACATTGTCTGTTGTTCTGCAAAGGAAGTTTCATCATCTCCCTCTAAAAGTGAGGAAGGTAGTTACAGAGAGCTTTTCTGCCCAGAGTCGCTAGTGATTCACCTCTAGAGCCAGGTCTACTCATTTACAAAGCTCTGTGCTGCCTGAAGAGCTTGTTGACAAAGTAGAAAGTGCTGTTCAGCCAGTTCCAAAATGCTCTTTGTGGTCTAGACTGAACTGACTGACTCTGTTCTGACTTGTTCAGGAGAAGTTGAAAACCTGGCTGCTCGTTTACATTCATCTCGCCAGAGGGTATCAGAGCTGGAACGTACTTTGTCCTCCATCTCTATGCAGCAAAAACAGTCAGAGAAGGTAAGAGTCACCTCTGTTTATGCTTAACCAGCAGCTCTGCCTTTGGCTATTTGCTTGTCACTACACTACTACAAAGTCTGTAGTCCCTGCTTAGAGAAGAGGCAGAAATTAACCTTGTTAATTAACCTTGTAAAACCCTGTGTTCTCTGTGATCAAGGCAAACTTCATTCAGGTTTCTGTGACCACTAATCACATGGTCCTGTTGCTGTCTTCACATCTGGCACCTTTCCTCATTAGTCTTGCCAGCTCCACACCACAGAAGCCTCACAGACCTTGTCCCAGAAGGGTCTCCCTCAAACAGACCCTTTAGTATTGATATTAATCCAGAAGTTTGCAGAAATAACCTCATGTGCAGTCAGTAGCCTCACATTTGAAAAGACTGAACAGACAGACTTATTCCTGGCAAATTCAGGAGGTTCTAAGCAAACCCATCCTGAGGAGTTTGCCAAAGTTTTGACATTTTCCACTTCAACTGATCTGCTAAAGGTGGAATGAAGTATTTTTTGAACATCTTATTTGTTTGGCTAAAGTCTGTGGATGACTCAATCGTTTCCTTTTTCTCCAGCATAATAAAGAATTAGTGAAGGAGCGAGACAACCTGAAAATGGAACTGTACAAGCAGAGGTAAGTCCATTCTGCTTGTTACTGCAGAGTGACACTGCTCTTCTCAGTAGAGCCACAAAACATAACGAGGGGCACAGACCATTTGGGAAGTTGGCTATTCAATTTAATTTAAAAAAAAAAGTCACTAGATGTGATTTCTGTGATTCTAGCTGCTATGAAGGACTGGATTGTAAATTTATGGCATGGACATCAGCAGTCCCAGAGTACATATAGTGATGCCACTTCAATTTTTTGTTTGTTCCAGCAAAAGTAGCGAGGAAATAAAGCAGCAGAATTCGGAGCTGTCAGAGAAAGTTCACTCCCTGGTTTCTGTGAACTCAGCTATGAAGTTGGATATGGAGGATTTGCATAAGAAGCTGGAAATGGCTGAACTGATGCTTCAACAGGTAACCATAATATTCCTGGGATGTGAGGGTAGATCGTGCTGATCATTGTAAGACTTTGCTTCTGACAGCGGGGGCAAGACTAAGTCTTGTTTTTAAAGGAAGGTGCAAAATCCCATCAAGACATCCTCTTAGTAACAGGCTTTCAGTGAGGGCTCTGAGGAACAGAAAGTCTATATTCTAAGGAGCAGGAGCACTAGATTGAAGACATTGTGGTGGCAGTGGTCAGCTAAAAGAATGCTATAGAGTACAAGAGGGTGACTGAATGTATAAGTCTTGTTTTTAAAGGAAGGTGCAAAATCCCATCAAGACATCCTCTTAGTAACAGGCTTTCAGTGAGGGCTCTGAGGAACAGAAAGTCTATATTCTGAGGCGCAGGAGCACTAGATTGAAGACCTTGTGGCACTGGTCTGCTAAAAGAATGTTATAGAGTTCAAGAGGGTGACTGAATGTACCAAGTGTGAAATACAGTGAATTTCCTGCTTGTCCCTGTGCAGCATTTTCATCATTTGTTGTCTAGTCTCACTGAGAAACCAGTTGAGTTGGGCAATGGCAACTTGAGGGTCAGATGTAGAACATTAAGAGAAGCAGGCAGTTAGAAGGGGAGTTCTTGAAGCCAGCTGTGAGCAGTTCACAATCAAGCTTGGTGTTAAGGTGAGCCTGTCAGGCAAGAAACTCTTTTTTTTTTTAGGTTCTCCCCCCTCTTTTTTTTTTTTCCCCAGACAGTGGCTTAAGTTACCCTTGCGTGAGCCTGTCAGGCAAGAAACTTTTTTTTTTTTTCAGGTTCTCCCCCCCTCTTTTTTTTTTTTTTCCCAGACAGTGGCTTAAGTTACCCTTGAAAACAAGCCAACTGCTACTCTTCTAGGAAAAGTACTGTGTCTCAGCTGAACCAGCCTTGCTACTTATCCCACTGACATGTGCCAGACATTGGCTTTAAATTCCTGACATGTTTGACAACTTTTAAGGTCACAAGTTTTATACCATCTGATTTGGCTGTATAATACAGATTCTGGAAATGCACAAAGTTTCTGAGCCAAATAATTTGATTAAAGCACATTTTCTTAATCAAAAACAAAGAACTAAACATAAAATTGGTAGGGAGGAGCTGCCCAATTCAGCCTGTTTTACAGGGCTAAAATCTAAGCTTTTTTTTTTTTTTTTTTTTTTTCATTGGAGCACTTTAAAGGGCTATAGAAGGTTACAACATGGATCATGTGGCAGGTTACTATCAGGGGAAAGGTTACACAGGAATTGAGTATTAACATTTCACCATAACTTTTTGATTTTTGTTGGCAGTTCTCAAATCAGGCAGGGAGTCTGGATGCCAACCAGCAGCTGCAGATGGCACTGGAAGAGAAGGTGGGCCTGGAAACCCAGGTTGCTCAGGTGAGATTATATTTGTGTATACATATGTATATAAATATTTCATATTTATGAAATAGGATCCAAATCTTCTGTAAAGAAACTTCCGTGGAAGAACGTAAATATTTCATATTTATGAAATAGGATCCAGATCTTGACTTCTGTAAAGAAACTTCTGTGGCAGAAGAACACACCCTGAGCTTTGCATTCACACTGGTTTCCTCAAGCTTTATCCCTTAAGCAGTCACTGCGAATTTTATTTAGCCAGTATGATTTTCTTTGTGTTTTATTTTGTTTTGAACAGCTCTCGGAGTCACTTCAGCAGCTCCAGGCAGAAAGGGATCAGTATGTAGAGAAACTGAAGGAGGAGCGGAGCGTTTGGCAGCAGCGGGTGCAGCAGCTCTCTGAGCAGGTAACGTCAGGGGCAGCATCGCAGCTTTTGCCAGGCCCAGGAGGGAGTAAATACACCATGATCGCTGTTTTAACTTTCACTTATGTGGTCTTGCAGGTCCACACAATGGCAGAGGAGAAGGAGAAGTATATGGCTCAAATTCGGGAGCTGGAAGCCAATATTACAGAGCTGGTGAACAAATCAGGTATGGCTTCCTACGTGGGGCTTCATTCCCACTGCAGAGCACCAGAGGGTTAGCTCTGTCCGTGCTGTGCAGGAACTTCTGCACAGAGGTGCAAGTTGATCTGGTGTTCTGAAGAAGGCAGCTGAAGGCCTGGTGACTCTAAGAAACCTTTCATCCTACCAAACAACAAAAGAACTACTTCAACTAATTGACCAGCAGATTTTATGTCTTTGGTGTCTGCCTGACTGTACTGCCAGCCTCTCTGGCCCAGGAGTTTGAGGAGGCAGGATGCTCTTGCTGGGGCTGAGGGAGTCAGTGGCACGCAGCAGGATGCTGTGCTTGGGTTTGGGGTCCCTTCATTCCTCTGGATGCCCTGCAGTGAGGATTGGATACTGCAGCTGGTGACACCTTCTGGGTCCCAGAGCCCTATAGGTTGGGGTTTGCTTTATGTATGTAATAGTGATGTGTGTTACACAGCCCCTTTGAGCTGCTTCTGATTCTGTTTCCTCAGCAGTTAAGCCCATGGATATCGAGCCTTCCTTACCAGCAGGGCCCACGGCCGCTGAGTTGAGTCTGCAGGAAGAGATCCAGAGGCTGCAGCAAGAGAAGGAGGAGCTGCACGGGCAGTTCCAGGCCCAGGTCCGGGACAACGAGCAGCTGAGCCACCTCAACCGGGAGCAGGAGGAGCGGCTGCTGGAGCTCGAGAAGGCCGTGCAGCGCTACAATGAGGAGTCTGTGGACAGGCAGCAGATCCTGGAGGACATGCAGAGTGACAAGGCCACAATCAGCAGGGCACTGAGCCAAAATCGGGACCTAAAGGAGCAGCTGGCTGAGCTGCAGAATGGGTTTGTGAAACTGGTATGTTTCTTTCGTGCATCTTTTGCCACTGCTTCCCTCCCTGGTGCAGTCCTTCCATAGCACAGATGTAAAAAACTGGTAGAAGCATTATCGTCTCTTGTCCTCTGAGGCTATGGATGCTCCAACTTCTGTGATCCATATTGCCATGCCAGGAGGTTCCCTGTAATCCCTTACTCCCTCGGGTGCTCTGGCAGGTGAAGCAGTACCTTTGTTCAGAGCAGTTTCCTGTCCCTCTCATCCCCTAGCAGTCAGGCTATTTCTTTCCCTGATTATTCCTCCTACCCTTTGACCCTTCCCATTTTCTGTTCCCTGTATTTGCCCACGAGGAAGAAGTTCTCAGCAGTTTTCTCTCCTGCTGCTCTCATTCGTATCCATCCTGGAGCTGAGTCCTTACTCTTGCTTCTTCCAGTGTAACAGCTTCCCCTTTGGGGTCCTGGCAAACTGACACAAGGTCTAGCCGTTCATTTTTCTTTAGTCCTTTCTGAACTCTTCTTGGTTTTGAATGTCTGTGGCTCTGTTTGGGGTATTCACACCACCCATCTGCTTTGGAGCTGACAGGCTGTGTGATGTGCCAGGCCTCTTCTTGGCGCGGTCCCAGCACTGATTCCCCTGGCTCTTTCCTTGCTCTTCTTCTGTCTTCTGAACCTTTCCTGATTCCCCTGGCTCTTTCCTTGCTCTTCTGTCTTCTGAACCTTTTTGTAAGTTATTTACTGCCCTGAAATGGTCAATTTATGGCCCTTGGTTACTCCCCAGAATGACACAAGGGATGGCATCCTGTTGTATCAGGAAGGAACATGGTTTATTGAGAGTACAGGTTTATGTTGGTTGGGGCAATTTCCTTAGACAGTGGCATTTGTCTTGCAGACAAATGAGAACATGGAGATTACAAGTGCCCTACAGTCAGAGCAACATGTAAAGAAAGAGTTGGCCAAGAGGCTCGGGCAGCTGCAGGAGAACCTGGGGGACCTCAAAGAGACGGTAAGCAACAGCCACTGGGATGGCCGGGCAGGTACAGAGTGGTTTATGCAAACAGCTGGCAACTTTCCCAACTTTGATGGAAGGATGGAAATGGGTATTGTAATGATCAAGCTGGGAACCTTCCCCCATCGTCTGCTGTCTGATGTGAGGGATCAGCATGTGGGGGCAGATGGTGGCTGCCTGCCTAGCTGGTGGCTTTGGGGTAATGTTGACAGCTTGGATCAGCTTTTCTGGCAGAAATGGTTTGATACGATGATTTGATCTTGTTGTGTCAGCTGGAACTGAAAACCCAGGAGGCTCGGGGGCTGCAGGAGCAGCGGGACCAGTACTATGGCCACCTACAGCAGTACAGCGTGGCCTACCAGCAGCTGGCTGCCGAGAAGGAGGAGCTGCACAAACAGTTCTTGCTGCAGACACAGCTGATGGATCGGCTACAGCATGAAGAGGTGCAGGGGAAGGTGACAGTGGAAATGCACCTGAAAGAGCTGCAGCAGACCAAGGTAAAAGCAGAAAGGGGCAAGCGAATTATGGGAGGAAAAGTGCTTACCTGCATTAAGTATTAATTAAGCAAAAGGTTGGACCAGATAATCTTTGGCAGTCCCTTCCAGCCCGGGGTTTTCTGTGATTCCATCCTGTGCAATACAGGTGGATGATCCTCACCTGGAGCAGAAGCACTGCTTTTTGTGCTTTTGGTGCTACTGTCTGAAATGTAGTGGCTGTTTGCAGTCTGGCCTGCACAGGTCTCAGTGACTTTTGCTTCTCCCTTACAGGAAAATCTGGAAGCTGTAGCTAAGGAAAACAAAGAGCTGCAGGCCCAGATTAGTCAGTTGGCAGCAGACCTGGATGGCAGGGTTTTGCACCGACTAGAGGGTGAGTAGCTGCGGCTGGTCTCGGGGAGGAGGCAGAGCTGGGCTCTCTGGGGTATTACCTCCTTGTTCACCTCCCTCCTTTTACAGGAGACGGAGTTGAAAGTGAAGCAATGACCGAAGAAATCCAAAAATCTTCATTTGTGATCCCAGAGAAGTTTGAAAGCCATGAAGAAATGGTGAGTCTTAACGGGTAGAAAAGCCTCTGGTTTTAGTTCTAAACAAATGTCTAGACAAGGAAGCAAGTTAAATTGCAGAGGGGTTGCACTGGGTGCATGGAGTGGGCTGTTGATCAGCTGTAATTCCTACCAACGGAGGTGCAGTAATGAGGGAAGGTAACAGTTCCTGGTGCATAGCAGCAAAAACCACAAGACTTCTGCAGCATCCTTGCTGGAACTCTGGCACTGGCTTTAATTATGAAGACAACTCAGCTGGCAGAGTAGCTCTCTAATTGTGATGATGATGTTCTCTTTAGTTTGGGAGGCAGTTTGGAAATGGTGTTGAATAATATCTACTAGATTTTTCTGTAAGTAGAGTCATAATTGGAAAATACTGTGATCAAACGGATACCATGGGAGCTAGTATTTAACCTGTGTATTTGTACTGCTTGGGAATGAGAAAAGATGCAGTAGTTGCTGCCTGGTTCAGTTCCAGGGCAGTCACCAAGTACTTTGGTTTTGTACCCATAAAGAAAATGAGTGAAATGTTACTCTCTTTGTCCTGAGATGGACCATTGATCACGCCTCACACAGGAGAAGCACTAATGTGTGTACTCTGGAATTCTCAGGTTGCTTTCTTGACATCTGCCATGTCCCAAGTGGAGAAGGAGCGAGAGGACATGAGGCAGCAGCTGGCTGCTCAGAAGCAGCAGTGCAGAAGCCTCCTGCAGCAAATAGCAACTCTTAGGCAGGAGCAGCAACACAACGTCACGCTGGCGGGAGGTAAGAGTTTTGTGCAGTTTGGGGACAGTGAATATGGAGGGGTGGCTCTGCCAGCTCCTCTGCCTTCTGAGACACAGCTACAGGCTTTGTGAGTGCATCGTGTCCAAGGAGGAACTGTAAATTACATGTGTTCCTTCCAGGTTCCACCATGGATACTGTTCCAGTGGAAGTCCATGAGGCTTTGAAAACTGCCATGGAGAAACTACAGGTAAGCAAAGGATCTCACCTTCTTTCAGCCCTGCGACGCTGCTCAGCTAGAGCTTGATCCGGTGTCACACTCTTACAGCACACACAGACTGACTGTAGGGGAATAAGTAGATGTTCCATAATAATAAGCTACTTTCTAAAAAGTTTATCACTGCTTGTCTCAGCACATGAAAGCCTGCAGCAGTAACTCCCCTCCCACCCCCAAAGACCGTGAGTATTAGTGCCTGACACTGACCTGTGGTCTCTTTCTAAAGAAATAGCTGAAAACCAGACTGAGTATCTTCACCCTGCTGGGATGAAGCGGTGATTGCAGTCTTGAGAGCTGAGTATCACCAGAGCTGGGCTGTCCCAGCAATGAGAAGGTTAAAAGGCACTTTGTTTCATCAGCCCTTCTGCTTCCCAAAATGCGGAGATGCCTTTTTATCCCTCCTCTAGCTCTCCGTCTCCTCTCTGATCTTTTTTAGCATCAAATTGGAGACAAGTTGTAAAGGCAGCAAGACTTGTTCGTGGGCTCAGCCTGATGTGATTGGAGGGTGTTATCTTTAACACAGGGGTTCTCTGTACGTGAGCAGCTCAGATGATTGATACCAATTCTTGTGTTCAGTCCCGTTTCACAGACCTGATGCGTGAGAAAGCTGATCTGAAGGAACGGCTGGAAGAGTTAGAGCATCGCTGCATTCAGCTCTCCGGGGAAACCGACACCATCGGTACGTTGAGGCAACACCAGCACAAGCTGAAGCTGGCTCAGTACGTTATTTATTTGGGGAACAGAAGGACCCCAACAGCTTTTGGAGCTGGAGCCCTCCAGCTACCAAGCAGTTCTGGTCTCCTGCTGCTGCCTAACTAGGCTGGATCCCCAGTCCAGGGCTGGATTGGCTGGATCCTCATACCACATAGTTCTATGCTCCCCGTAAGGCTTATACCCCAGCCTTGCTAACGCTTATCCCTTACACTTCTCTTGTATTCCAGGGGAGTATATTGCATTATACCAGAGTCAAAGGGCTATCCTCAAACAGCGGCACCAGGAGAAGGAGGAGTACATCAGCAGATTGGCCCAGGATAAGGAAGAGATGAAGGCAAGGACTCTTTTTCTGTAGGGTACATCAGCAGATTGGCCCAGGATAAGGAAGAGATGAAGGCAAGGAATCTTTTCTGTAGCACTGCTCCAAGCAGGGCAGGCCTGGGCAGCACTTGCACAGTCCAAACCTTTGCGTGTTGTTCCTCAGCTCGCTTTAACTGTCAGGTTGCTACTTTGTGATGGAGGCAGGACTGCAACCCGTAGGGCAGCGTTTGCGTGCACGTTTCATGGGCTTTCCTTTCCTTTGGTGCAGATGAAACTCCTGGAGCTGCAGGAGTTGGTGATGCGTCTGGTGAGGGAAAGGAATGAGTGGTACAGCAAGTACGTGGCAGCCGCTCAGAACCCAGAGCTGTTGGGGAGCGGGAGCGACGGCGTCCTGCCAGGGGAGAGGCGCATCGAGCTCAACGCGACCGACGGAGAAGGTAAGCTGGGGTCAGGACACGTTCTGTGACATGAAATACCACAAGGTCTCGGTGCTGTGTGCTGGATGGGTGTCACCTGCCTTCTCTGTGTCCCCCGCAGGGTTACGAGAAGTGAATTTAGCAGATGAAGCAGAACAAGAGGCTGCTGTTCTTCATCAATCCGGTTTCTCCCCTATCGACAGTAAAGCTGCTCAGCCCAGCCAAGAGGACCCCACAGCAAAGCAAATAATGCAGCTTCTCAGAGAAATCCAGAACCCTCAGGAGAGGATGAGCTCCCTGCTGGAAAACCCCTGCATTCCCTTCTTCTACCGTGCTGATGAGAACGATGAGGTCAAAATCATGGTAGTTTAAGTGGCGCTAAATCTTAATTGCAGCAATTTTCTATGAGTCTGAAAGGACTTATCTGACTTGTACGTGCCCATACCTCTGCTCAGTGCCCTTGGTGAGACCAGATTCTTAAAGACATCAGGAAAGAGGGATTGCATCAGACAGAACTCGAGCATCAGAGCTCATCCTCCCTTTCTCTTTCTTCTGTTACTTGGTGTGCTTGGAGCACAGGCAGACTCACACTAATCCTGGGAGGCAGCTGGTGCTGGCACTTCACCTGGGCTGGGGGGAAGGGGATTCCATGACTTTGGGCAAAATGACTTGATCCTTTGTCCCAGACTCTGCTGCCAGCAGGCAGCTTCACAGCAGTGACCGAGCAGCGGTTCTGATCCATCACTCATGACTGTAATCAATCAGCCTAGATCCTTCCAGGGCTCCCAAAGCAACTAACTTATTCTGGTAACGAACTCTTTGGACTCTAAACAGGTTGGTTTTGTTTCATACTATGTACCTTTAAATTTCCCACTTTCTTCTGCAGCCTGATCTCTTACAACTGTATCTGAAACTGGCCTGGTCAGTCTTGAACAGCCAAAAGATGCAGGTTCCTGGCACACGCGCCAGCCCCATCGATTCTCATTGCTCGGGGAAGGGACCCAGGGTGGCCTTTTGAGTCTTTTTGGTTACTTGACAAAGCTTTATGTGATTCTTGGGAGTGGGGTGGAAATGTAACTGCACTTTGAAGGATGATGTGTTTCACTTGTATGTGTCTGAAGGTTTTATTTATTTTAAAAAAATGGGAGAAATAAGTAAAAGGAAACCACTTAATAAACATGCTTTGTTTTGAATTTATGGACTCTAGGGGTTCTAGTTTGCCATCACTTAACTTTCCTCCTCTCCTATTTCGGTGAGGAGGGCATTAGGTGGAATCCAAGATCCTGTGCCCCCTGGTAGACTCCTGGGACACACACCAGTGACAGTGGCATCACCTGGCTCTGCCTTGAAGCTGTAGCCCTAATGCCAAGGAGAAAACAAAACGTGGTGGGAGGAGAGAGGCCCCTGAAGCAGCAGCAAAGCAAATCCCCTGGGTGCACAAGCAGTGAGGTGAACAGCCCACGCACGTCCTGCAACTAAATTTGCCTGTTCTTAGGAGGGTTAGTTTCAGCAACGGCATTTTAAGGAAAAGCACAGGGGACCAGAGGGTCACAGCTGTGTGAGCCCAACACTCAGGCCTGGGCTGGTGCCTGCAGCAGCACCTACCACCTCTTGTCAAGATAAGATGCAAGCACAAGAACGCAGTATCAATTTTTGTGTTTGTCAACAACAAAACCAGAGACCGTTCATTTCTGCTGTGCCCAAGTTGCTCAAGCTTTACCCCAGCACTGCAGAGAGAGTTTTTATTTCTAACGCCCTGCCCAAGTTGCTCAAGCTTTACCCCAGCACCGCAGAGAGAGCTTTTCTTCTAACGCCAGAAGCAGATTGTGGGTTGGGGTTTTTTTGTTTTTAAAAATGGTTCATCTTGATGTTTCCATATACAACTGAAAAAAAGCTTACACAGAACAAACAGTACTTTCCTGTGAAGGCATCAGGGGAAGATGGAAGCTGTTCTTTGAACTCCTTTCATTGGATTGACAGTAGTGGTGTCTGGTACTGTACAACACAAGTGACACAGGCTCCCAAGCCCCTGCTGCACAGGGTTGTGTACATAGTGTATCTGTGTAAAATGCTGTATATTCCTCAGATACTAAGCCTTTTGCAGTGTTTAAGGCTGCTCAGGCTATTCATAAATCTGTATCATAACTAATGGGGGCAGGGCTGTGATTTAATACAGAGCATTATTATAAACTGAGTAAATATTTATTGGGTGTTCTACTCTAGTACTGTGAAGGAGACAAGACCAGTGAAGAAGGTCTGCAGGCTGTTGTAGAGGTGACTTAATCCTGTTACAAATCCGCTTTCTGAATAAACTTATTCAGATGGGCACTGACTAGATGTATTTCTTCTGTCCAGATCACCTTGAAATTTGGCCAGGAAAAAAAAGTGAAGAATGAGTTCTTTATTAAGAAGACCTGCCCTGGCATGGATGCCCTTTTCACTTAGCTTTCATGAATGTTTTCCTGTAGACAGATTGCTGACAAGCCCGAGATGTTTCTCTTGGCCAGCATTGCACATCCAAACCCTTGCTTCAGATTCATTTTTCACCCTGCTCCCTTTAGGACTGTTTCCCTGACCCCACCTTTACTTTGAGTGAACTCAGAGCAGGAACTACCCTTCAGCTGACACACAGTTGCTTTCAATTGGAGTAACTGACCTGCCTCAAATCCCAGGTGCAGAGGCAAAGTTTCTACTTAAAGGCCTTAAGCACCAGATAACAAGAAACAGCTGTTACACAGAGAGGACACTGTTTGACAGGGCTGTAGATCAGTGGACAGGAGTTTATCTTGCCTAGGCAGGGGAGGTGGGGAAAAAAATGTAGGACAGAGTAGGGTTATTGTCTCAGATTGCAGAGAAGCTGCAGTTAGAACCCATAAAAAGACACAGTAGAGCTAGAACAGACATAGGAAGGAAGCACTAGAGATTTAGTCTACTCTCTCAACCCACACTGGTTATTCATCGACTATGAATAAAGTCTTCAAGGAGATTTTTGCTGATTAAAGTCTAAGGAGTACTGGGGAGATTGCACAAGCCCCACAGCCAGCTGTAGCAAAGGCACCAATAGTGCAGTGACAGAAGCCAGCAACCCCAGAGCTCCTCATCTCCTCCTGCAGGAGCAGCGCTGGAGCCCTGTTACCCAGGGGATTAAGGAATCTGTTGCAGTCATTGGGATGACAGTGCTAAATTTGGGAATTATGGAGAAACGTGGTTGTCACTGTGAGCAGCAGTGACCACGATCCGAGCTCCACAGCACTCAGTTTTGGCATGGGGACAGCAGGGCCAGGTTTACCTGGGGGAGCCTAAAAGCAACCTCCAGATAGGAGCTGGCCACATGTGTCAGCCTGTGGTTAGACTGCTCTGCAGATATGGGCCTAAAAGACATCACTTGACAGAGAAACTATAACTCAACACCCCCCCTGCTGTGTTCCACACAGCCTAAGCAAAAATACCTTTTTAAGAACCAAGCAATCGTGTGTGTACAACTCCCACCTTCTCCACGTCCAACCACTGAGGCACCTCCATGTATTTTCCTTTACACCTTCCACATCTGACCAAAGCTTCTCATTCTGCTGCAGCTCCTGGACACCACTGGATGCAGATCTGTCCCACCTTCCCTATTAGTGACAGCACCTGCTTGCATGCATAGCTTTTTAAGCTCTATGGGATGAAAAGATTAGGTTATAATTAAACACAGTTTGAAAATCACCCAGAGAAAGAGCAAGAGAAAGAGAGATGGTTTTATTCTCGTCATGGAGACCTTCATTATACAGAAATGAGAGTTTATTTCATCCAATAAACAAGAGTGACAGGTAGATCACAAACTGCAGCACAGCTACTACCAGCACTGAGACAGTTCACCCACAAGTCTGGGGTAATACAATAACCCAACTGCACACAGCAGAGAATTTAACAATCAGCTCAAAAACTCAACATCAGGATTTGGTTAACTTTTTGGATGTGTGTGTATATATATATGTATATAGATATTCTTTCCCTACTTAAGTATTTCCTAATATCCACATGGAAGCACAAATGGCTTTAAACACCTGGACATATATAGATTTTTCATCTTATATATATATTTATAGATATTTATAACAGTAAAGATATGTTTCTCATTACTACAATATACTTGTTTAACTCCTTTAAGCAGCTGGGAAGAAAAATAAACCCAACAAAACAGTTTCACTACAATCACATTTGATATGTGTGTGTCACAAAATACAAACAAAACAAGCCAAGTGTGAGAGATTGGAGTCAGACCATTCCAGGACAGAACAGCTAAGAGGCAGGCAAAGAGTCTCAGAGGGAGCAGGCCTACATGTCAAATGGTGGTTTTGGGCTCTCTGGGCGGGAGGGACTGGCCTTACCCGGCCGGCTGGAGTTTAAAGACAAGAAAAACAAAGAAAAGAAAAAAAGGAAAAGGGGAAGGGAAGGAAAAGGGGAAGAAGTAGTAAAACAATAGTTAAAAATACAGAAAGGAACCGGCATCAGAACAACAGAGGATCCACAACAGAAATTAAGAGCAATAGCACTGAAATGAGATAATTTAAACCTGAATCAGGCCTGGTTGAAAGCCTGCAACGCAGGTGGCTCATTTAGCTCTGGTAGAGACATGACATCTGAGATGAACAGGGTTGATATATTTTTAATTCTCAAGTCTTTTTTTTTTTTTTTTTTTTTTTTTTTTTTTTTTTTTTAATACATGTAGCATGAAAAGTAAAAATCAAATCTTAAGATGAGTTGTGATCAACAATAGTTACAAGTTTCCCCAAACACGTACCATCCACATGCAAGAAGAAAAGGCTACGGAAGAAGTCACCACAGTACCCAAAAACCACTGAAAGATGTGCTTATTCAAAGCGGAAATATATTTTCAACAAAAACATTACACAGCGAACTCCCTGAAAACATTTGGTTGTCCATTTGCAAGGGGGGAGCAGCGTTATCTATTCCCCTTCTCCCTGCTGGGTTCAGGAAAGTCAGCCAAAAAAGGATGATGCGAGACAACTGCTGGCAGGAGCCAGTGCGTCCCCAGCAGGATCTCCCCGGCTTTTTGGGGAGCTCCATTCGAGCGGGTCCACGTGCTCCCCGCACGCGGAGGTGTGTGCGCTATCTCAGACTTCACTCTAGCAGGACTATGCCGATCCATTGAGTTCCCCCCTTCTTCATCTCCCTGCCTCACTCACTGACAGAAGGTTGATTGCACTGTTCCCAACGTGAATTTTTGCACCTTAGAAGTCAAACTACTACACAGGACATTTAATCTGTTCCTAACGGTGTCACATGTTTTGACAGTAATTTTTTTTTTTTTTTTCTTCTTCTAAGTCACACTTTTGTTTTCTTAACTACAAGAAAAGAAAATAGCTACAGATCAGTCCTAGGTGCTACAGCTAACTGATGCAGGCAGGACACTTATCCAGGCTAAGACCAGGCAGGTGAAATAACCGGACGGGCAGCCACCACTTGGACTTAATGCCGTCCCTGCGCTGATCTCTCCAAGGAGCCTGTGCAGTTCAGGGATCCGTGCCACTGAATGAAGGCTACTCTACGCTCACAAAGCAATACAGGACGCACGAGTGGAGACGAAGAGCTCGATCACTAGGCTAAGTGCTTTACGACACACCGGGAAGGGGTGGTGGGAGGCAGAGATGTGGGATGGATGAGAGGAGTGAGGGTGGGAGGGAGGGAGGGTGGGATGGGGAAGCCGCCAGCACGGCATTCGTCGCCAGCTGTCTACAGCCTCGAGTTATAAATCTAAGAGGGACGGTTCAGCCGGTCGGATTATGGTAGGTCGAGTAGGTGAGGCGGGGCCCCTTCTGCTGTGAAAAAGCAGAAAAACAAAAACAAGAGAACACACACCGTGGTTAGCACAGCAATCACAGTCACAATCACACATGCTTCTCCACCTCGCCTGAGCCAGCAAGAGAATAAAGCTTGAGGCACAAACTATCAGATCGCAGCTCCACAAAGGAGACTCAGGGGTTTATACTGGGCCTCGCACTGGCCTTTCTGCACAGCATGGATCACCAGTAAAGCCATCCCCTGGACAGCCAGTTTCGCTTTCCCTCTGAAATTTGGAAGTGCAGAGATTTATCGCCAGTGAGTGCATGGGCTCTGGAATGAGAGTTGAGAAGCATGGACAACAGTGAGCTCCTCTATCAAGCACATGACAGTCACACAGCATGGATGGGGTCCTCTGAGACGCGCTGCTGTCAGAGGCTCTTGGCCGGTTTGGGGGAGCACCTTCTTCCCCTGCCCTCGAGGCTACTGCAAGCCTAAGATTCCCTATTATTCCCAATACAGGATCCTGATCTTTGATGTCAGGGGCAAGTTCTCTAGTTCTGGTACTCAGCAAATGCAGCTTTTCAATAAAAGGAACTTTGGCCACCGCTACTCATTCTGTTTCAGCTCCTTTGCTGGTACTTTAGCTAGGGAAATGGGCAGCAACTTAAGTGTTCACCCTCTGCATGGATTAAGTGTTCTAGGATCTCTCAGGGGGAAAACAAAACCCCAGAAAAAACAAGACAACACCCTCACACCAACTCTCTCAACTCACTACTTGAAAGACCACTTCAGGCCAAGTCTACAGGCTTTAAGAAGTCTACAAATAAAGTGTCAGTGAGTCCAAGCTGGTTTTCCTTTAAGGCGTGCTCCCTGCAGTGTCTGCAACCTACACAGCATCACGATGGTGTATCATTGTAACTAAATCATTCAGTTCCAAGCCAGAGTAGTTTTACAGTCCAAACTGCCTGAAATGCAAAGAGCAAACCCAACAGGATGCAGACCAAGTCGAGAGAAAGTGTTTGCACTGATGACACAGAACCAGGTGTCACAGAATCAATGACTGACCAAGTCCACACCAACGAGCTTCAATTCAGATTATAGAGAATCGTCTGACCTCTGGAAATGAAGGCCCTCCCCTAACGCAGGGGCTGAGGGAAGGGATAAGGGGCAGAGGAGGATATTTGCACCACTACAGTTTTCTGAGGTAGGGAAGACTTTGCTTTGTGCTGCCTACAAGTCTATTACCTTGGTGGTACCAGAGGAGCTGTACTCCCATAAATTGGGGCAAGAAATCTTAGCAAATGAACCAGAGCAACTCTACAGTCCTGTTTATTAGACCTCAGCAGAATTTATTGCTCCGTGTCTATTAAGCCCCAGATCTCAAAACAATTACAACCACTTGCTCCTTGCCTTGGGAAATGATACATAAAAAAGCTTCAGACAGTAAAACATTTCCAAATGTTATTTCCTTCACTGAAGGTGTCAATGGGGACTGCAAGACCCTAATGACAGCATGCCAATCAAATTACTGTTCCTGCACAGCAAATAATGATAGGATTGAGCCAACCTGGAAATTACAACTGCCTTGGAAGGCTCCTGAAATAATATTACGTCCCAGAAGCAAAAATTGGAATGAGATGTTACAGCTGGGGAATCTGTGACCCCGAACTTCGTGACCTGTGGGATCTGTACATTATTTCCAAAGGGTGCTCATGGTGTAAATGCAGCCATGGCAACCATTCGATGGCTACTACCGTCATTGGGACAGTAATAGCACTCAAATTAAAACCTTTTGAAACTTCAGCTTAGCCTTTAGTGAGATGCTGCTGCACTGTCACATGTTAGAAGGTGGGGTTTTTTTTGAGAAGCTTGAAAGACTTTGCATTTCAGGTGTTTGGACAAGTCGTCCTAAAAACCTCTATGGATTTACATGAAAAGGATGCTTGAGGTCACTGGACTACGTAACATGTTCTGGCAAGAGAGGCCACTTGACCCTACCAAAATAAGGAGGGCTGAATGGAACACAAGGAGTTTTCAGGTAGATGGGCTGCTTTTTTGTAATGTACTATGACTGACTTTTGCAGACACTTATCTCAGTGCTCAGAGGCTTTTAGAGGGAGGGGCTGACACTTTTTTAAAGTTATAGGTTGTGCCTCTGCTCAGGTGTTCTGCAGACACCTGCAGAATCTGCCTGTAAGGTTACAGAAGGCTGAAAACTGTTTCCCAGCACAAAAAGGGACAGAGAAATCTCTCGGGCAACATTTAGCCCTGAAACACTGCTTCAGTCTGTCTCGTTATGTTGCTAGCTAAGGCCTTTCACATCACTGAAAAGTCACTTTCCTCTGTAAGGACAAGGAACAAAGTTTTGCTCACGGGGAAGCCTGTGGCAGTCTCAAGTACATAGGAAGGAAGCTCTGAGTAAGCAGGAGCCCGAGGAGATCAGTTCCACTGACTGTCACATCCACTGAAGTCAGTCTTTCAAGCCATATCCAGACTGCAACACAGAGCTAATCATATCTAGAAACCAACAAGCTGATAGAGAGTTCTGCTGATAAGGACCTAACAGATGGTATAACACTACATTTATTCACTTGGGCTGCAAAAGGTTTAGGGTGGGGGGTTTTGTGCTGTTTGCTTTTTGGTGTTGTTTTGGTTTTTAATTTTTATTTCCTTGGTGCTCTTTATGCCAGATTAAGAACAGAACGCCCCATAACAGCGAGTCCCAGAACAAGGTACAGACAACGGCGAGCCTCTTTCCTGAGGTTGTTCACCAAGATGCATGTTTCTCGGGCTGTCAGGGATGTCTGCAGTGGGCAGAGAATTGGAGGAAACTGCTGATTGCTCCAACGTCTCTGCAGTATGTCATCAGTGAGGAGGGCTGACGGATGACGTCCTCAAAGAACATGTCAATCACTGAACAATCACCGCATTGGTTTGATGTGATGTGGCACCTCTCAGCTCTAACTGCAGTTCCATGCAGCAGTAACAGACACCGCTCGCTGCAAGATGTGGGCAAGCTGTGACCTCCCCTGCCCAGGAACAGGGGCCTGAACTCATGCTGTTCTTATTAAGATAGGACTTCAGCACACACTCCTCCAGCTCTCTCCACCACAGCCAGCAGCAAGGGAAGCTACAGGAGCTGCTGCTCCACTCTCTCAGTCAGACCTTTCACTTCAAGAAAAAACATCCACAGGAAAGGGAGGAAGGGCCCAAAACACCCATGCCTGCCCTGTTCTGCCCTATCTACCCCTTGGTCAACAAGGGCTGGAGGTTCAAACTCCCTCTTCACCCCCCCCCACCACTCAGCATTAACAGGACAGAGTTGTTGGGCCAACACAGCACACAGGAGCCTGCCCCAATACCTTGCTACATCACTGAACAAGTACAACGCTGCAAAATGCAGGGAGACTTAGGAAAAGGGAACAGGCAGGAGCTCAGGGCTGAGTGTTGGGAGGACTATGGATCACAAAACCCTTCCTCTCACAGGATCAGAAGGCAGAGGAGAGAAGGCAGTTTGAATAGAAGGAAAGGAGTAACCTAGAAGGCAAAGGGTCAAGTGGAGAACAAGCAAAGGGAGTTCGCTTCTACCGGTGATGACGGGACACAAGGATAACAGGGAACATTCAATGTCAGAGTTACCCTGCACTCAAACATGGAAGTCCTGACATTCATGACCCAAATTCCTTCTGCCTTCCATGAGCAATAGGGACAGGGGCACTTCTCCAGCCAGACATTTGACTTTAAGAAGAGGAGTCTGAACTAACAGCTCCCCAAATCTCTACCTTGATCCTAACAGAGCTGACAAACCAAATCAAAAGAGTTCATTCAGCTGATCCCCCAGTCAGTGTGGGCACAAGCCAAATGAAAGACACACACAGTTTAGACCTTGTTGCCAGAGCTCATTCCCCCATCCCACCTCCTCTATCTGGAAGCAGAGAAATAGTCCTCTTGTAACCTTAAGTCAGGTACAGAGGCTTTCCCAGCTCCTGCAGCTCAAGCAGCTGCTCCATCTCTGATCAGCCAGTTTTTCTGTTCAAGACTCCTCCCTTTACGAGATCCTGGCAGAGGCGGTTCATCAGACAAGGGACTCTGTTACTAATACAAGAACTAGGCAGCAGAGGTGAGCTGCAGAGCAAAGTGATGGAGGATGGGGACACAATGACTCATGCATTGGAGGGAGAGTGCAGAACGTACCGTGGCTGCCAGTCCTCAGGGGTCACTGATAGTGATTCTGAAAGACAACATGAAATCAACATGGCAGTTCAGACAGTTCAAGGCAGAGGCCGCACAGACTGTCAGGAAGGTGGAACAGAGAGACATGCACTTGCACAGACACACATTTGCACGTCCCCCTCCAGAACACAGCACGAGCGTGCACTGCTGGGCAGGGCTGCACTGCACCACACAGTTTTGTGGACTTTGTGCACACACTATCACAGCCTCATCTCTGCACACATTCACGCACAGGGGTGCATTGAAAGCCACATATCTTCTCACACACCTCCTGGCCATCACTCATTCACATGGCAAACCCACTCTCACATCCAGGCTGCTGTTCATACCTGCTGGACCAGCAGCACACCTAGGTCTCAGCGCCCACCAGCTGGGCACTGGTGGCTTGACGTGTCTCTCAGTGGGGATTGCTATCTTCTGACCACATTAAATACTAGAGTTGAAGCAAACAGCTCAGGAAAGAGGGAGATAACATGCAGTCCTGAGCGCTACCCACAAAGGGAAAGAAGCAGATGAAGACTTACATTTTTGAAGGTCACAAATCATGAGATCAGCTGCTCTGACCTCCTGAATAAATAAAGTCATAAAGCTGTGTGAAGTTACACTTACAGCAATGTTGATCACTTGCATCTTTTTCTTTAGATGAACCCAAGATCAGAGAATCTGTTAATGACCTCAACAGATTTTTCTGATGGTTAAGTCATTCTTACTTAACCTTTCTTATTTCTCCTTTAGGCTTGTCTGAGCTCTTTCACCTACTGTTTATCAAACTATTTTAAAGATACTAAATACCTGAAAGGATATCTTCATAGTTTTATTTCCCAGAGCAAATCCTTCTGCATAGCTCCAACAGGCATATAGTCCAAATGCAGTCCTTCATTGCACGCAGACAGGACTTTATATTGTTTGTAACTTTCCACTCCCAAAGGCATGTATTTGGCAATATGGTCTTCCACAGTAGACTGAATAAATGCTAAGTACAGAAGCAGGATGGTAAATAAACCTTGGTTTAAGTGTACTTAATTATATGCAGGAAAACCCTCCTGTGGAAGGAAATGGGCCATGTGGTGTTTGTATGTGAAAGCATGTGTCTATACAATTATGTTTATTAAAAAAAAAGAGAGAGAATTGGAGCAACACTAAGTTCATCATCCACAAAACCAGATGCTCACACAAACTGGAGGCACAAACTACCAAACTTCTACACGGGCATCAGTGGGCACATACACAGACAAAGTACATCCAGCCACCACCATGCACTTCCAGTTCACTAACACCAACTCCTACAACAAAACTCACTCGTGCCATATACACAAGAGCTCTGTTCCTCTCACCCACACACAATAGTGTAGCCCGGTTAGCAAGGGAAAAGATGGGTATTAAAAAAGCAACAATGGAGATGGCATTCGTTCACCCATGGCAGAAGGACCCAAGTCCAAGTGCTAGCAGGGAACATTCTTATTCTATATACAGGAGAGGAAGAGAAAGAGTCCCTTGTCATTGGAAATTCTCCATTCATCAGTGAACTCAAATGACAAGCTGGTATCAGGATCCGGAGGAGTCTATGAACAACTGGAAGAATCAGAGAGGGGGGATCAGAGAATGAGCATCACTTCACAGCTTCTGGAATTACATTCTCAACTCCAGATCAGGATAGTCAGTAGCATGCAATCCAACCTACCATCTCTCCTCCTAAAGCAAGGGATTGCTCTGTTAAGTATGAAACACTTTCTTCCTCTGCTCCAGTGCTGTTTCCCTACATCCCTCCTAAACCCTTCTACCTCATGCACAAGGCAAAAAAGCCATTAAGATAGGCTACGACAGATTTCTTCAAAAAAGGCCATTTCAGCCCATTTGGGGAATCCTATCATGATGATCAGGTATATAGAATATTTTTCATGAGTGAAGAAATGAGACAGTGGAAGTAGAAAGATGGAGACAAAAAGAAGCACAAGTATACTAAAAACAAAACCACAAAGTAACAGTATATGGAAAAGCAGGGTCACAAGAAGCAAGAGCCAAAATACACAGCAGAAGCATGCTGACATCCATTGGTGCCACCAGCAGGACTGCAGTCCCTGGGGCAACGCTGAGGCACATGTGGACAAATTACTGTGGGAGCTGCATCAAGGTGCATAGGGAGGACTGGGGCAGAGGCACCAAGAAAGTAAAACCATTTGCACACACCAGAGTCAGAAACCAGTCTCTAAACTTTGGACTCATCCATCTGTGGGCTGGATACGGCCTGGCAGAGAATACTTCCCCTCCAAACCCACAGCACCAAGTATGAGCTGGGGCACTACCACAGGAGGAAGCCTGAACTGCCTCTGCCACGTACTGTCACCACCCATTGACAAGCTGGGGGTTTCCACAGAAAATGGCAAAGCTTCAGACGTGCCACCAGCACCCAACTGGAGAGGAGGTATTTTCCATGAGGGAAGTGTTCCCTCTGGCATGTCGTTGGGGATTTTCTGGTTATGTTCATTCTTTACTCTGCAATTATCCTCTCTTCATCACATGGAGACAGTGAACCTAACATAAAAGCATTCCTGGTTCCAGATCGCTTCCTAAGTCCTGTTCAGAACACGTGCTTAGCTGCACAGGGGATAATCCCTTATTACTGTGTTAAAGTGTGCTTGAAGTGATTGAACAGGAAAGGAATTAAGCTTCCTCATGGGAAAGCAAAGGTGTGTGATTTGAACCCTCTAGACTGGAAAAACATTCAAATTGGTTACAGAAGCAACAAAAATACCTAAAAAAATTGATCTCCCTGCCAGTTATATTGTAATATTCTCCTAGCCAAAAAGCATCTGAACAGCTTAGATGAAGGTCTCTCCAACTCACCTTGAAGAACTCTGGGCCAGGAGAAAAGGGGCAACTTCAGACTACACAAAGGGGAACTGCCTTGAAAGGTGTAATGTCACTTCAGTCCTGTGATTTTTCTGGTGACCACCTCCTGCTTGTGAGCAGAGGCAGTGGTGTGATTGCTTTCATAAAGCCCTCAGGGACAAGGTCCTCTTCCCCCAATCTTTGCACAGAGGTTTGTGCAGAGAAGAGGTTGCCTCTCTGTTCCTGAGAGCTGCCTTGGCATTGCCTCATCTGTACAATGAAATCTCAGTGGCCAACAATGCTCCTGCCTATGGACCCAATTCCAGTAGTCACAAGACTGTACACACACCATGCACTCTGCTCTCCTTCCATGGCCCAGGCAGACCAAGTGCTGCCAGGGCCACTATCCAAAAGTTGGACATATCCCACCTGCATGGAGCAGCATTTCAGGACTTACCTGGGAACACCAGGAGGAGCGCGATTAGGCCGAGAAGGAACCTGAGGTGGGGGCCCAAAGGGATCAGGAGAGGCACCTGGCCTGGAGGGCACAGGGGGGGCACCACCCAGCGTGGACCCACCAGCAGGAGGTGGCCCAGGAGCCGGGCCTCGAGACCCAGGTCTGGCGGGTGGAACAGCGGGAGCTCTCCTCTGTGGCGTGGGGCTGGACGTAGGAGACCTGGCAAACAAACAGAGAAATTCAACTGCAACAACAGGCCTGGGATCCCTCTGTGTCACCATCAGGTCCCCATATGCTGCCTGCAGCATTCCTTCTTTAGTTTTGTGTCACTTTACACACCACCCTTTGGCTTTCAAGGCTTCCAGGTTGCCTTCAAAGCTACATCAGACCCCATGTAACCTTCAGGTTTAGAAGCCTCCACGTCCTCTGTGAAGGTGTAGCAAGCCCTGCATAGCTTTCAAGGCCTAGGAGCCTCCCAACATGACTACCCCGAACTCTTCATCCACAGGGAGAAGAGGGGAAGAAGAGGACTCCCTGTCTCAGTAGGAGGCCCCAGCTAGCCACTTGAAGAGGCATCAGGCCGGTCTGTGGGGCTCTCCCCCTGAGCCTCTGGTACCTGCGTCCAGATGGTACGCTCTGCACCTGCAGCCAAGAGTCGTCCACCGGTGGGGGCATAGGGGTGCTGATGGTGCTGGTGTTGATGTCCCCGATGATATTGAGGGCCTCTTTCAGGGCATGGTACATGCGCAGCATCTCGTCACGGCGCTGGGCCTGCTCTGCCGACTCCTCCATCAGCGTATTTTGGTCACCACAGGAGTACAGGTTTGCCAGCAGCTCCGAATGGATAAAGTCCTTGGTCTGTAAAGGAGAACAAAGAGGGAGTCAATTTCCACTCTCTTCCCCAAAACACTCCATTCTGTCCCCCTCCTTTTCCTCCTTCCAAGCTGCCTTAAGTTTTTCTTCAATTTTTCTCTCTTGCTCCCTATTTTTCCCCTTCTCTATATCTTCCCACCTCCACCAACCACTGCATGATACGTACATTGTTTATCATGAGGTGCATAATTGTCTTCGGCATGAGGTCTCTGATGGTTTTGTTGACAATTGCCATGTAGGAATCCACCAGGTTCCTGATTGTTTCTACTTGTCTCTCCAGCTGAGGATCCATGGAGTGCATGAAACTGTCTGATCCATTCTCCTCCGCTTCACTGGCCTGCAGAGAAGAGGAGAAACAGATTGGTTCTTCAAACCTAACACAAAATTGGCTTTTCATGAGAGCACTAAGGGAAGAAAATAAGGGAACACACAGGAAGCACATTAATAAGACTTCATTTTGAGATGTGATTGACAATGCACAGCTCAGCTTGTACAGACTTCTCCAGCTCAGATCTGAGGAACTTTAACAATAAAGCCGCACTTTTAGTAGGAAGATACTACACAAAGGTGAAAGGCAATGGGGACTCATGACCAGATTTCACAGGTTATGGCACTAGTGAATACTTGAAGCTGGATTTTTACTTTTCATATTTATGGCTTCCTGAAAGGTCCTTCATTTGAGCTGGCTTTTCCATGCTCAGATTCAGTTTAGGCCTGAGAATCATTTACCATAAATTAAGCCTCAAGGACTCTCCGAGATACTGCATCTTTATCCTCATTATACAAATGAGAAAACAGATACAGAGAGGTGAAATAACTGCTCATCTCAGTCAGACCACAAGTAGATGGAATAACCTAGAAAACCTTCCTGATCACTTTAACTGCAAATCCTGCATTGTAAGTCATAATTATCTTTTCTTCCACACTAAGCAGATGAATCTCTTTGTCTGCCTGAAATGCATTGTTTGGCGCTCTGCAAGGTAAAGCATGAAAGACTGTTGTCTTTCCCAATGCTTACTTAAAAATCCCTTGATTTTATAAAGAATGATCTTTCTTTTAAACCATCCCAGTCTGAAGGATTTGCAGCACTGAAGGAAATTACTTATTACCATATTTTGTTTTGGGAAACAAATATATGAGAAAGGGCAAATTCTTTTGTTCGTTTGAGCTTTTCCTAGGAAGATCTTACGTAATGAAGGAATGCAAGGTCTCAATGAGAAATGAAGTAAAGGAAGTGGACATCAAAGAGGACAACTTAAAAAAAAATGAGGGTCAAAACCCCCAAAAATAAGTTTGCACCAAAATTCAGAAGTCATACAAAAAGAGACAAATAAAAAGAAAAAAGGAAAACTCAAACCAAGAACAGAAACAAACAGCGGCCATCCAACAGAAGGTATAAAGAGGGAAAAGAAGCAAATGCCTCTCAGGAAACTGTGACAAAAGGAAAAAACAAAAGAGAATGATCTGGTAAGAGCCCCAGGGGGCAACACAGAGAGCATCAGACTTACTTTGTCCTTGTCCTGGCAGGCCAGTTTGAGCATATGTGGAAAAAATTAAAACAAAAAGGGACAAAAAAATAAAAGAAAACTTTTAGTTGGTCTCAGAATTTGGAGAAGTTCCCGTATAGCAGCACTGAACAAGCAAAAGACCAATACCACTAAAAATACATAAATGCCTAGACTACCCTGGAAGAGGAAGCAGCAAATTGTTCAGCTAAACTGAAAAATCAAAATGGGACACTCTGCAAAGGAAATTGCACTGTTTGCAACAAAGGGCAATTTACTTACCTACAATGGCTTCTTGTCATCAGTTACACAGGGGTTTGAGATATTCTACCTAGCTATCAGTGTTCCTATGTGACACCACTCCATTTGCACACCAATAGGTGGCACATGTCCTCTTCCAGTATGCCTTTAAAGAGGCCCAGTCTGTTCCAAAGCCAATTTGAAGTCATGACCCTGTTAAGGTCCAGTCCCTAATCCTCTTTTTTTGATATCACATCAGTTTGTTAGGAAATGCTTTGAGGCAAAACACACAATCTTCAAGTGTAACAGGAAAAACGAATGCAAGAAGTCTATTAGAAGCAACAAATACAAACAGATAAGCAATTATCACTTTGCTAATGGGAAAACTATTTATAGCAGCTTCCTCTCACAGAGGAACAGGAAGGCTTTGAACAGGAACATGTACTACAATTCTCTAGAACACACTTTTAAAGCAGAGCATAATGCTGACAGCAAGTGTTGCGGGCCAAGGCTAAGGGAAGAGATAAGAGGTCTTGCTAAAGTAGCATATTAGGTATCTACTAAACAAAGAAATTAAAAGAACATTCCTTCCTAATTGGGAAGGAATGGGAAAATAACTACTAATAAGCCAGGAAGCTCCTAACAAGGCTGCACAGTGTTACTGAAGAGGAACAGTACCTTCGCTCAGCAGACATATACCACTTAGTAGTCAGGTAATTAATTGTCCTCCTTATATTGGGAATTTAATGCCCACAAAACGAGAGCCAGATGGGTTTATCAAGGCAATCTTTGCCTACTTTATCTCCCCTTTGAAGCTGCAAGTTACTTTATCCCAAGCTTCCTTAAAGGAAGCACCAGGACATACTGAAAGTTTAAATTTTCCGTTTCAAAATATCCTCAGCTCAGAGAAGAGACAAAACCTTCATGGACTTCTTTAACATATGAGGATACAGCTCTCCCTCTTACAACATATGCTGTGTTCCTTTTCATCCCATTATTATGGCTGTATCTTACCCCAACACGCTCTGGGTAGACTCCTGCACGAAGGAAGGAAGCCTTCCAGCTATCCACCTCCTCCTGGGTCTCACAGGCCAGCTCCAGCTGCCGATAGTCCTTGTAAACATTCCTGAAGGAAGACAAACATTTTATTCCTCTCTATTGCAAAATTAGATGTTTGTCCATATTTAACAAAGATTTCAACGACCAGGGAATCTTCCTATCGCTTTAAGGCAGAGACACTTAGTCCCTTGCTAGTATCCTCATGATGACCCTGCAGAAGGGAAAGGAAATGAATTTTTTTTTTTGATGAGCAAGTTTAATTACCCCCAAATCAGTTGTGTGTTTCAATAGGGCCTGAAAGAGATTCATTTTGCAATTCTGCTCACTGCTGGACTTCTCCAGCCAATCTAGGTCCCCTATCTCCTACAGCTTTCCCTATTCACTCGCTAAGAACACTGATCCTAAATATATAGTCCAGTCATGGCCAGATGCAGGTAATCACACCAAACAGCTGAAGACTAAGGTCACACAGCAGACCATGCACTGGTAAAGACAGTGGCACACACACATCTGTAAGACCATAAGGAATGAAGTCAGATTTCTGTTACAGTTCCCTGTCTCCTCCAAAAATGGCTATCCTTAAAGGAAACATACCTCTGTTCAGTGTTGAAGAGAGCAAAGATGTGCTTGCTGGACATGAACCCCTTCTCAACATCTCGCAGCTTCAGGTTATCCACTGGTAACATATACTTTTTCTCCTTCTCCTGAAAACGGGATCAGTAACAAGTCATTCACTGCTCCAGCAAAGCCTCTAAAGGAGTCTGTCAGCAATACAGCCCCCACATCACCGGCAAGACACTCTCAATCCAGGTCCTCTGGAGTCTGTGAGAAAAGGAGACCTTTGGAAACAAGAGTTTGTCCCTCCCAACTGCTTTTGTGGCCCAACAACCCTGCCCCATTAACTCCTCCAGGAACAGACAGCAGCATGGCAATGTCCCAATTCCTCAGGCTCTGATCAACATCAAGGTCCTCTCTCTTCTCAGTAAGGGGTCAATCAGAACCAAGACCCTCACGCCAGCCACTTGATGCCCTCACCAGATCTGCCTGGGAAAGGCTCCTCATACCTCTGCTCTCAGGAGAGCATCAATGGGGGGAAAACTCTGCTGCTGGTCAGAGCAGCCCTCACAGCCCCACTGTTGCCACCTTAGTGTTTGACTTTTAACCACAACAAGCCCATATCCAGGTTGAAGAAAAGCCAGGCACCTGACAGAGAAGCTGGTTTGACACAGACATTATGGACCATATCAACTTAAATTCACCTCTTCAGAAAAGCTGCTTTTCTCACTTCATCTTATCACTGTCTTACACTCTGTTACTGTGAACCCTTTTAAAGTATTAAGCAATAATAAATATGCATTAAAGAGCAGGTCTGGCTACAATAATACAAGTTACTGTAAGGTTACCTGAAGGACTCCTGCATTGAAAAAAAATAAATCAAATAACTATGCTAATTAATGAAAATCTCATGCTCTGAATTATTAGAAGCTCAAACAATGTGGGCAGTTTACTACCTGGTGAATGTTAAAAACCCGAGTCTGAAATTTCAGTCATCAGACTCAGAGAGCTTTAAGCCATCCGTTTTTTTAGAGTAACTGCACCCACAACCCACCAGTCTGGTTCTTTTGAGACATCTCTGCTAAACACAGAACAAGGCATCTAAAAACCAACTTCAACATTTTTGACCATGGGTATAATCTAAGTCAGAAATCATTCTCCCTGCTTAGTGTCAAATCTGGATCTACAGCAAATTAAGAAGTGAGTTTGGTTTAAGGTCCCCATTTGGAACATCCAGCTGGGTATTATACCCCAACGTAACAAGAGAGGGAGCCATCACACTGGACTCCAAAAGGCAGAATGCAGCTATCCAAGACTGAAATAGAAACACAGCATACTTCTGTGCAAGCATGGATGTGTGACTGTCCCCTTGTGAGCATCTTGTGTGTATGTAGACCTTTCTTGGCTGGAAACAACAAAACACAATGGCTCTCAGGGGAAACAAAAATGGAAAACAAAGATGGTCAGTGAGCAGAGATGCTGAAGAGCTAGAAAAGAAGGGCAGGGCAGAGCAGCAGATAAGGATGACAAAGCTGCTGAGCTCAAACACCCAGAGGATGGCAAATCCAGCCTAACATCATCTTAAGTTTCAACTAAATTGACTTGAGTTTGCTAAGGATATGAGACACTACAGTGTTCGGACATAATCCAAAGATGAAACTATACCAGTCCATTACAAAGTTTGTGCAACAAGAATATCTCGGAAGCCAGCATCTAGAACACAGAAGAGGTCACTCAGGAAGATGCGAAATTCTCCATTCTGTCTTGAAGATGCCCGACTATGAAAGCAGGAAAGCTCTTCCAAGCATGTTTCCCTGGATTTTTTTTAATATTGTTGATCAGTCTAGATGAAAGGTGAGCAAGCATTTTTGTGATGGACATCTGTCAGCCAGGTGTTGGTCTCAGAGACACACAGACCACTTCAGGTTCTGTAGACCACAAATAGCTTCCAGCTCTCTATTACTTTCTGTTATTATTATGTTGGTTTAGGTTAAACTAGTGACCTAGAAGTGAAGCACACCAACTGCTAAGTCCCTAGAGGCAAGACAGACCATCCCCACTGCACTGGAACTCCCCGCTTCCACCCCACAGAGTTTCTGGGCTAGTAAAAAAAACCCCAAAACCTCACGTTAAAGCTGTCTGAGAAAAATCATTCTGCATTAGAACCACATAATTCCATAGAAATTTAGCAATGGAGTAATTCTTCAGGAAAAGAGTCAAAAGGTAAGGGAATCCCGTGTCCCAGATACACGCTCTTTGCCAGAGTTTCAACTTTCACCCCTTCCAAGCTCTTGCATAAACACTGCTGTGTGATCAAGACGACACTATCTCTGCATGCTAATCTCCTCAAATGCCAGAGGAAAGACGCATATATCTGTCTGCCAGCATAAAGTATCAGCCTTCTGACTCTGAGGTAGCAAGAGCAATCAAGCGGAGGACACTGGCGCAAGACAAGAAAACCCCAACCCACACATTGCAGGGCAACACACACACTGCAATGAGCCCCTGCTGCTCCCTGTCTCCCCACACCTCCCCCTCCCAGTCCCCCACCTCGGTCTTTCCAGCTTCTCAGTTTTCAACCCAGCCTGTTTTATATCAACACTCTGACTTCATTTCCTGAATGTAGAGACAGGAAAGCGTGGAAGGAGCTGCCAAGGGCTGAGCCTCTCAAAACTTTGGCTGAGCCCTCAGCCCATATGTTAGCAATCTGGCAGTATGTGCTATGGCTGAATAGCATCCTGGCCAAGGGGGGAAAAGGGCTTCTCTCTCTTGCTTTCCAGACTCAGAGGGGGAGGGCAGGGGGGGAGAAAAGAAGGAAGGGCCAGCACACATCGAAATGGGAAAGTAGTTTGTGAAATGCTATATTCAAATCCCTCAGTCTGATCCCAAGAGGCTTATGTTGCTCATATCTTCCCCTCATCTATAAGAAGAAAAAAATCAGGCAAAACTCTCTCAGCAGCAGAGTCTACGTTATATAAAATGTGCATATTGGCTGCGAGTTAATCTGTAGAGCCATGAGGCCAAGGAGAGGTAGTGAAGTGGCAGCAGCACTCAGACTGGCCACACAGAACAGAAGAGGGATGCTCGGTGCTGGCCAAGAAATGTTGTAGACACAGGGCTAGCCAGCCCCGAAGAGGGCTGCTGCTCCCGACAGGACCCACACCGCCTGCGTGGAGACCTGCGGGAAGAGATGACTGCAAGCTACTCACAGAGGCAGGATAAGTGCCAGAGGATTACTCCCCCGCCCCCAGCACAGTGCAGATACAGCCATATGGCTCTGTTCTTTGCATCTACCAAAGAAAGAAAATACACATGGCCAGGAAGGAGACCAGGATCCCTTAGCCATTCCAACCATGGGGTGTGAAGCACAATAGCTGGAGGGGGAAAAAAAAAAAAAAAAAAAAGGATGCTGCAGTTGCAGCCTGACACTGAAACATCCTTATTGTGGCTACACACCTCCTTATGGTGGCTAAATCCAAGAGATTGGTTTTAGCCAGAGACAGCAATGGTTTGCACTATCATCTGAATTATTTGTTCCTATCCAGTAGGTAATAACCTAAGAAGCAGTTCACAAAGTCAGCAGGCAGCAAGCCAGCCTGACTCAAAGCATTTCCTCCATTCAATTGCACTGCCTCAACAGCAAGTTAAATTTTCCTGCTCTCAGATACATGTGAAATGAAGCTGACAGATGCATGTGTGGGCTCCCCTAAGGTTGGAAATTGGCACTCGCAGTACAAGAAAGTAATTGGCAGAATTATTAGCTCTCAGTTTGCATTTGGAGCACAAATAAACTAATTAAAGGTTTCCCTGTAGCTGTTATGACAAACACCTCCTTTTGCACAGAGACATGGGTCTGTGGATATGGGAGAAAGAGCATTGCCATTGTTTTAATTGGTGGCCATGTGAAATTCAGAGAAATTCATCTTGCTTAAACCCCTTAATCTCCTTTCCTTCTTGTAAGGCGTAAAGTGCCATGGGTAAACAAACCTGCCCCAGAGATGACTGGAGCTTCAGTTAAATCATTTGTGTTAGACACTTGCATGGCATTTTGGGAACTCCTGCAATAAAACTCTACTCAATTGGAAAACATTAACATCATAATTGATAAAAAACACACTGCATGAATACACGGACACTACAAGATTATTAGGAAGAAGGTTCTGAAAAAACAGCCTGGAGTATTTGAACACAGGTTAGTTGAGCATTTTAAGTTGAACCACCCATCCCCCCAAACAAGAAGTTACCAACCACTTTCTGCTCCGTGTCTCTGCAAAGAAAACATACATTAGAAGAGCTGAATTTCTGAGCTGTGATTCTTCCAGGAAGCCCTAGTCACCCCACAACATACGTACATTGAGACCATCATTCCAAAACACCCTGTAACGCAACTTTTACCCTCAGAGCATAATTTACTGGACACTGCAATCCCTCCTCCAAGCTGCAAAGCAGCTGTAATGGCTTGTTTACATCAGAAAGCTGCAATGGTTTAACTTAAACAACACATCCTAAGATTTTAAGCTGATTTAGTTCAAAAGCTCTGCAGACACTAGGCTGGACTCGTGATTAATCACAGCCATTGCTGTTGGCTTAGTAAGCACAGCAATGGTAATCAACTCACCTGCACAAAAGTAAAGATTTTTATTTACATCAGCTGAAATAATGCACAGATTTAAACATGCAGCTAAGTGCAACCCTGGGAACCCATCAGAGGGTATACAAGAAAGCACAGGCAGAAATAAGAGTAGCTTAAGAGAGGCTACAGTGTCCCAAACTCCACCGCTGTGACCTCTCTAAGGTGAGAGGAATGCCCACCAGCCTTTACAAAGGACAAGCACACATTTCTTCCCACATCTGTCCCTGTGCCAGGACAGGGATGAACTGTCCCCGAGTATTTGACTTTCTTTGATGAGGCAAAGTGCAACACGCACACAAAGTGCTGCACACCTCTGGGAAAAGAAGGTTGGTTACCCCTCCTCAGCGCATGGTTAGAGCCAAAGTGGGAGTCCTGGGTGTTTGTATTTTTGGCCACAAATCTTAACCGTCCACCAGAACGCAGACAAGAGAAGGGGATCCTGGAAGGGAGAGGTGTGCCGTACATAAAGCCCTCTTTATCCCTGCAGCACCAGGGAGAGAGGGAGCAAACCGCAGG